TTTTGTTGACAATTGCATGGAATCTGTGTAGTACTTTTTTTAGTATGGCCATTTTAATAATATGAATTCTKCCTATTTAAGAACATGGGAGGTCCTTCCATCTTCTAAGGTCTTCTTGAATTTCTTTATTTAGTGTTCAGTAGTTTTCATTATAGAGATCCTCCACATCATTTTTCAGATTGATTCCCATGTATTTTTTTTTTTGAGGCTATTGTGAATGGGATGGTTTCACAAATCTTTATGACATAACAGGTTGATGAGTCAAATTGCTGGGCAATGGCTGATTCCTTGGTCTCCTTCTCGTGACTTCTCTTCTTCCCACCCATGCAGTCCTTTCCTCAGCCTTAAGCCTTCACTACAATTTCTTGGTGGCATGGCCATTTCCTGTTAGAAGGTTAAGACCATCATTTCAATCAAGTCAAACTTTCTTAACTAGTCCAATTGGCATCAACCCCTAACTTGTCCCAAGAAATATGAATTTTCATCTTTTTTGAAGTGCTTCATTCCAAACAAGTTTTTCACCTTTTCCTCCCTCATTTCAACTACATTGGATTTTTAAATTTTTTTTAGGTGTAGTTGTATACAATRGCTTTATTTTATTTATTTTTATGTGGTGCTGAGTAATGAATTCGGTGGCCTCGAATATGCTAGGCAAGTGCTCTACCGCTGAGCCACAATGCCAGCCACACCACATTGTTTTTGATAGTTACCAAATTCTGTTTTCAGCATTTCTAGGTTCAGATTGTACATCTATGTCAGCCCTGTTCATGAGTTTGTATTTAAGTTTTTGTACATAATATTGGTACATATGTAAATGGCTATATTTATTTTTCTAACTCTAAAAGGGCATTGAAAATACAAACATTTAGAACAAGTGGAAAAGAATGACAGTGGATCTGTCGACTGAAGGGATCATGCTATTTATAAAAGAAACCTTTATGAACCTTGAGCACCGACACACAGACACAGCTCTATAAGTGATTCTTTTAAAGAGATTAATATTTATATTCTGAATAAATGAATTGAATGCCTATTCTGAACAATGCCTCATCTTCAGTAAGGAGGGGATCAAAGGCAGGGGCAGGAACCCAATTCGTTTTGGTCTTTGTTCTGTTAGAAAAATAATGTACATAGATGATACTATAGTACAAGCAAAACATCGAAAGGTCTAAGTTCCTAAGTATAATAGAGATGAATTCTAGTTGGGTCAATTAGAGAAAGCTTAATGAAAGACATTTAAGAGGGTTTGATGGCTTTGTTAGTCTTTGTGTATTTGTCCTGGAAGACAAGAGGATTATTTTTATTTACCTTTCTTTTTTGTCAGGTAACAGAGACCCAGTAGTAAAAATCTTGGGCTCCGAATTTGGTGAAATGAAAGAAGACTCCATTGCCTTAAATATCCTTAATAAAATTAAAGCAGATGATGACCATGAAAATGAGATTAAGATGAAGATTGCCATATTGCTTAAGGAACTAGATCTGCACCTTCTCAATCATACCCTAAAATATATTTCACTGTGAGTCTTTTATCAGAGAAATCTCAAAAACTTAGTTGCAAAAGTTGCTTTCAAAGTTTTAAAGGAAAAATGCCAAAAAAAGTATGGAAATTATTTATTTTCAAAGACTCTTTAAGACAACAACAAAGTCTTAAATTATAACACAAATACCATACAGAGTTTGTATAGTTCCAAATGTATTTATATTTATAGTATTTTCTAGTAGTATGGCATTATTAAAAATGATATGAATATTTGAATATTTGCATATAATTAGTGTTACATCYAACATGAATCACTAATTCATTGATGTTTTGATAATGTTGTTACAAGATTAAAATGTGACTAAGTTTAACTAAAATTTTAATTACAAAAAAAAGAGCGATTCCTTTTTATATAATGGAATATGTTCATGTATTTCCTGTAGATTCTGTTTTAAAGTGCTTAAGCTAATTTTTTAAACATTTATTGCAGGCAAATAAGTCTAAATCCAGTGACTGTTAAGAAGGATATAGAGCTGCTCCAAAGTTTTTCAGGAAAAGGRGAAAAAACAGTCTTGGAATCTATTGAGTATACCTCAGGTTTTGTATCAGATGCATTTTACTTATTTACTTTTTTTCATAACTACATTTCCAAAATGCTTTCCTTGGCTACATCAGAGTCATGTATTTAAGAAAATGAAAACTTAAAACTTTTACAGTATCTTGTTGATGCCAACACATTTTATAAAACTTGAAGTTGAGCTTCTATTAGTGACTTGATGATTGGTTTCAGATTATGAATTTTCAAATGGATGTCGAGCCCCGCCTTGGCGACAGATTCATGGGGAGATGTGTTATGTGCTGGTAAAACCCCACGATGTTGAAGTTTTGTGCATTACTTGCAGCACAGAAGGAGTGTTTTTAAATGGTGTAAGTAATTTCTTAAAAACATAATTAAARCCAGTTGACTTATATTCTTCACAAGTCTTCATAAATGCTGGTTTATGTCTTGCGTTGAGTTCTGATGACCACAGAGAATAGAATTCTGTTCCATGGAAATGAAGCAAATTCCTTTGCTGTTCTTCTGCTGGGCAAATTCAGAATAGTCCCAGAATCAGCTTCATTGTTCATCATTTCAGGTCATATAAGTCKGCCTTCTAAGAAACAGACTTCAAAGTGACCCATTTCACTTCCTAAAACTAAACTCTCAGCATGTCCATGGATTAGTTCCTTGGTCACTGAAGGAAAGAAAGGGCAAAGGAGGACYCTGAGATAATACATAAGTAATAACTTCAGCTTCCATCCTAAGAGCTGAAGGGACAAAGAGAAGCAGAGGGCATTATCCAAATGTAAAAGCTTAGAGGAAGTGTCCCATGACACTGGCACCTGGACCTCTGGAGAGAGGGCCACTTCTAGGCTGTGCTCATTCCCTCTGAACCCAGATAGTCTCCATGAAACTGGAACACAGACCTCTGGGGATTTGGTGCTACTCAGTTAGTGCTGGTACCTGCTGAGCTCAGAGGAGAATCTGGAGGTGAAACCAGGACCATTGAAGATGAAGTCCTGGTCAGCTGATGGTGATATTTCTGAGGGGGTGTGAAGAGTCTGGTTGTGGGACTGTGGGAACAACAACTGGAAATTGGTACCAACAGTTGCTTCTAAAAGCAATTGCCAATGCCAAGGGTAAAGAGCCATTCCCGGAATGACATCATCAGGGACAGTGGTCACAAACAGGAAGTTGCATCTTCCTCCTCCTTCTTGCATCTTTCAGTCTTGAGCTTCCTGTCTCCTGAATCTAACCTAACCTGGCAAAGAAGAAGTATAGCATTGCAAAGTCCCAGTCCAAGTATCACAAAGCAGAGTCTGGGTGGGTGGCCTCTGAACTAAGCAGCACATAGCTTTTTGAATCTTCGGTATTAGAACACTTTATTTTGGGTCTCATCCCAATTCACAGAAATAACTACTATAAGTGTTGTCAATCATTCCAGGGTTCTTTTGCTCAATTTGAGATAGAAATTCTCACCAGGTTAARGTGATGTTATTGGGGCTTATGCTCAAGCTTAAGGGAGACAACATAGGAGATGGGGTTCCAGCACTGACTTTCTGAAGAGATGGCAGATAAAATTCTTATAGTTTGACTGCTGACTGTGTGCAAGTGCAACAGTGGTTGTCGAAGCAGGTCCAGGATTTCTATACATGTCTCACATGCTCTATGCTCAGCATAGAGATCTGCACTCTGCGTGGTAATGTGGTCAGGTGCATTGGGTCCTTCTGTGCTCCCCTGGCAGAAAGATGGCGGAGGGCTCCTTGTTGCCCTCCAGGAAGATCATATAGTGATCAAGCCCCGGTCTCCTATACCAATGGAGGCTRCAGGAAAGATGCTTTTCAAGCTTTGGAGGAAAAACTGGTGGCTTAGATAAGGCTGTCTTGGGAAACATATTATGTAAAAATCAGGTTTATATTAAAGATGGAGAACATGTTGAGGAAATCAGACTTTTTAAATTCTGTCCCAGAAGGAGCTTAGTTAGCTTTCTTCTCTGCAACATGCAATCCTCAATATCTTCAATGCAAATTTTGGACTTACAAGCAAAATTCCACAAGGAGGACCTAGATCCTCAATGAGGACCAGCTGTTACAGGGGACAGCTTGGAGAGCTGTTACCTCTTGGCTTGGGTTCATACCAAAATACTGGTTTGGCTTCCATAGTTATTGCAGGTATCTCTCTCTTCAGGTGCACCTTTATTATTGGGTGCTTTTCTTTTTAGCATACACTTCATGTATTTCTGCACAGAGAAGGTAGACCCCAATTTTGCTTTTTGGTTTATTTTGATAGTTTAAAAAAAACAAAATCTCTAATTAGAAAATAATAGGCAAAAGAATGATTTTCTTTGACCTAGAGGGGAATCACGGCATTTTTGTTTCCATCAAAGGCTGTTGATCTATTTGATTTGATATGGAAAAATCTAAGTATTCCTCTCAGGTTTAAAAATTGAAAAGGATGACAAGAATATTCAATAGTTAAAAAAGATTAAAAACAGATAGCCATTTCGAGTATGTATGTACATAATCTGTTATGGCAGAATAATAGGATAGGAAAGAAAAAATAAATGAGGAAAAAAAGAGATAAGAAGGAAGAGGAACAGCAGCAGAGGAATGGAGAGACAGATGGTTCCACAGAGATGGTAACTCTGGAAAATGAACCCATAGAGCCCTGTTACATGAAGAGCAAGAATAGAATGTGATAAACAGAAACATAGGCTTTTCTATAGTGACATTCTACCTTTGAGGCTTTTTACGACTTCATCAGCTAAGGCATTTGATGTCACAGTGCATTTTTCACAGTAGAGAATTATAAGGGATCAGAGTTCTTACTTCTCTGTTGAATAGCAGAGTTCTCTACCTGCATTTGGAAGGTACTGAGTAGATGCTGAATGGATAGTGAATGKATGAAAGGATCATATTAAGTTCAGGGAGAAGGGTTTAGTCTGTACATTTCATGCACAGCGACTGTCACATGACTAGGCATGGCAGTGCACACCTGTCCTCTCARGCTACTTGGAAGGCTGAAGCAGGAGGATCATTTGAGCTCAAGAGCTCAAGACCAGCCTAAGGAACATAGTGAAATTCTATCTTAAAAAAAAAATAGAACTACCACATGGATGAGAGATAGAGATAGAGACAGACAGAAGGGAGGGAAAGAACAAATCTGTCTCTATGCTCAGTTGTGCTGTACTGATCAGGTTCTTTATTCCTATTACCTTAATCACAGCACCAAACTTTTTCTCTCAAAGGGCAAAACAGATGATGAGGGGGACATTGATTATGAAAGAAAAAGTGAAGTTTATAAAGACCTTGTCACACTTTTAAAAGAAAAGTCAGCAATATTTTCAGAAAATATGTCAAAACAGGTAAGTTTTATAGTCTCTTGAACTTTCACAAATTTATATTATTTTGCTAGAGCTTTCTATGGTATAAAAAATTGGGAGAATAATATTGCCTAWTTTTGGACATTGTTTTTCATTAGAGTATCTTCACAACATAACATAACTTTTATAAGAAGAACACTTTAAAAGTGTTTCTGATGGGGCTGAGGTTGTGGCTCAGTGGTAGTGCACTCATCTAGCACATGTAAGGCACTAGATTTGATCCTCAGCACCACATAAAAAAAAATAAAAGTTTTTAAAAAGTGTTTCTGATTTTCTTTAGGCAATAAGCATAATATTACAAATTGCTTTCTAAATAGGGGTTTGTCCTCTTTCCTTTTGAATGAATGATACTAAGAACAAAAGACTTAGCCCTGTTAATGGCTCCTAGAAGCTCTGACTATATATCCTTTCTGGTCATCCCCTGATCACATCTACTTCGATTGTCCCAATGAGTGTTCAGCACATGTGCACAAGAATGTGCTTCTTAGGGGAAATGCTTTTAGGCTTCCACCATTGAGTAGGATGTTAGCTATGAGTTTTTCATACATGCCCTTCATCTTGTTGAGGAATTTGTCTTCTGTTCAATTTTCCTTTTCTTGGTGCACCGCAACATTTAGTGAGCTTCTTGGGAGAAAGAAGCTCATAAACAAATGAAAATAAATTGATAGCACATTTGAAACTATCCTTCTTTTTCAGTTGTTGTTTCTGGAATAATGGTTGAAAGTCTTTTTTAATGCATTTTAAGGCTTTTCCCCTATTCAATCGACTTATTTTGTGTTTCCCCCTTTTCAGAAGCCTTTAGGATCTTCCCTGATATTCTCTAACTTTCATGGTACATTTTTTGTTAGTTCTTTTTTTTTCATAAATGCTTATATGTCCTATAGAACTGGAAAAAATATTTTCCACATTATATCTTTAATTTTTTTGTCTCTAATCTCTTTTAGGAACTCTTGTTAGTTGGATATTGGGCCTCTGACTTTTCTGATCCTCTGATTTTCGTTTTTTCTCATCCCACCCTACCTCAGCCTGAMTTTCTGAAAACATTTTTTTTTACTTGATTTTCCAAACATTGTATATGTTTTCAGATTTTAAACTCTCTTGTTTTTAATGTTTGGGTTTTTTTTAATTTTAATTTTTATAGAATTTGGCACTTGTTTCATGAATTTTCAATCTTCTCTCAGTATTTTGCTGACAGCTTTTTTTAAAGCTTGTTTTTTGTATTAGTTATGGTTCTACAGAGAAACAGATTCAGTGGGGGAAGAAGTGTGGGAGAAAAGGAGAGGGAGGGAAAGAGAGAAAATGACAGAGAGGGGAAGGGAGAGGTATTTTAAAAAGATATTGGCTTATGCAGTTGTGGGTTCTAGTTAAGTCTGAAATTTGTAAGGCAATCTAGCAGGTTAGAAACTCAGGTAATAGTTGACATTTCAGTCTGGAGTCATAAGTCCTTAAGGGAGCAGGTTGGAAACTCAGGCAAGGTTTTTATGTAGTCTTAGGGAGATTTCTTTCTTTAGAAAATTTCAGTCTTTCCCATAAAGGTCTTTACTTTATTGAATGAGACACACTTACATTATTGAAGGTACTCTATTTTATTCAAAGTTTACTGATTTAAATGCTTACCATGTCTGAAAAAGACTTAAACTGCAATATTTAAACATATTTGACYTAAACAATTACCCTAGCCATTTGACACCTAAAATTGACCACTGATGCCTAAATTAACCATTGACACCTAAAATTAACAATTATACATTGTTTGCAGCATTGTTTCACTTTCAAGTCTCTTTTCGTTGGTTTTGGTTTCTATGTTATGCCAGATATTTTTCATAGGGTCTAAATTTCTCAGTTTCTCCAAAGCCAGACAGAAAAGCCCTGTATCTGTGGGTTGGACCACTTGGCAGCTAGATCTGATTATAAAGTGTTTGGAGAAAATGTACATAGATCTCCATTGTTTCGGGCATAAATACTTATGATTGTCATGTCTTGTTGATGTATGATTCTGTTAAGCAGTATGAGATGCTTTTTTACTTTTGATTAATTTTGGCTTAAAATCCACTTTATCTGATAAGAGAATGGTAACCGATGCTTATTTATGAGGTCCATGTGGGTGGTATGTGTTTTCCTATCCTTTCACCTTCAGTGTATGGTTTTCTTTGCTTGTGGGGTGAGGCTTTTTCAGACAGCTAATTGGGTCTTGTTTTTTAATCCAGTCTGCAATCTATGTCTTTTAATTGAAGAGTTTAGACCATTTACATTTATTCAATGTTATTATTGAGAGATGAATCTATTTCCTCCAATTATGATTTATATATTTCCAGTGTTTAAACTGGATTTGATTCTCCTCTGATGGGCTATTCTTCTAGTGTAATCTTCCCTATGCTGGTTTTCAGTYATACATTTCATTTCTTCTACATGAAATATTTTATTGAGTATGTTGTTGTAGTGAATGTTTTCTAGTTATGAATTCCTTTAGCTTTCGTTTATCTGGAAAGGTTTTTATTTCACTTTCAATTTAGAAGCTTGATTTTTCTGTGTATAGTATTCTTGGTAGGCATTCATTATCTTTCAGAGCTTGGTATATATTATTGTAAGCCCTGCTCACTTTTAGAGTCTGGGTTGAAAAATTAG